AATCCCCCCTCCGCACAAAGGGCGGGCGGCCCGCCTGCCGCCTTCGCTCCGGACACCCCAGGTGGGTGGGTGGGTGGCTGGCTGGCTGGGGGCCTCCCTGCCTGCAGGTGTCGAGGAAAGGAATGCGGGTGAGGGCGGGCGGAAGGGGGGGCTACTCGAGGCCCTGTCGGCGCAGGCCCCAAGACCTCCCTCTTCGCAAAGGCCCAAGGGTGTCGGGACGGGCACACATACACCAGTTGTTTCCGACACTGCCGATGGGTCTCTCTCTCTCTCTCTCTCTCTCTGGCCTCTGGGATGTGACTTGCTGGCAGGGCTCAGCTCGCACTGGGAGAGGGACTCGCTCCACTCCACCTGCGGAAGGAGGTCCCTGGTGCACCTCCGGACAGTCACGCTCCGAGTCTGACCCACCGCAGCCCAGGCACAGGGATGTTATGAAGAGAAGCTGCGGGGAAGACACCGGGGAGTGGGGGGTGGGGGGTGGAAGGAGAGCCACGTACTTGCGCTTGGCTGTTGGTTGGAAAGAGAGGCGGAAGAGGAAGGCAACCAGCCCGCCCTCCCAAAATCTCCTCTCCCCTCCCCCATCCCAGTGGCCTGCGCGAAGACCAGGGTTCGGGGCTGGGCAGCCCCCCCGCCTTTGTCCTCACCCGATGACGCAACCCCTGGTGCCGGCCTTTCCCACCCCAAGTGCCCCCAGAGGGTGAGGGGGGGAGAACAATCTGCAAGCGCCAAGAAAACAATGGGTGGTAACTAGAAGCCAACACGGATTTGTCAAGAACAAATCCTGCCAGACTAATCTGATCTCTCTCTCTCTTTTTTAAAAAAATCTGGTAACCTGCCCATAGAAGGTGGGAAAGCTGTAGATGTAATGTATCTTGACTTCAGCAAAGCCTTTGACAAAGTGTCCCATCATATTCTGATCAGCAGACTAACTAGGTGTGGGCTGGATAAATCAAGTGTCAGGGGGAAACGCTATTGGCTACAGAATCATACTCAGAAGGTGATGATTAATAGCTCCTTCTCCAACTGGGAGGAGATCACAAGTGGGGGTACCCCAAGGCTCAGTCCCCGGTCCTGTGCTCTTCAATATTTTTATTAATGACCTGGATCAGAGGGTGCAAGGAATGCTAATCAGATTTGCAAATGATACAAAATTAGGTGGAATAGCTAATACCTTGGAAGATGGAAACAAAATTCAAAATGATCTTGATAGGCTGGAGCACTGGGCTGAAAACAACAGCATGGAATTCAACTGGGATAAGTGCAAAGCACTGCACCTCCGAAAAAGAAACCAAACACACAGTTACAAGATGGGAGAAACCTGGCTCAGCAATACTATGAGCAAGAAAGACATTATACATCACAAGCTGAATGTGAGCCAACAATGTGACGTGGCTACAAAAAAGGCAAATGCTATTTTTGGATGCATTAACAATAGTTTCCAAGTCCCATGAGGTGCTAGTTCCCTTCTTTCGGCACTGGTTAGGCATTCTCTTGAATATTGTGTTCAGTTCTGGATGCCACACTTTAAGAAGGATGCCAACAAACTGAAGGGCATTAAGGAGGAGGATCGGGGGGGGGCTGGAAACCAAGCCCTAGGAGGAAAGACTGAAAGAACTGGGCATGTTTGGCCTTGAGAAAAGAAGACTTGGGGGGGGGGGAGATGCGATAGCCCTCTTCAAAGACTTGAAAGGCTGTCCTACAGAGAAGGGAGAGGATCTCTTCTCAATCATCCCAGAGTGCAGGGCAGGCAACAGTGGAATCAAGTTATAAGAAGTCACATTTTGGCTGAATATCAGGAAAAACCTCCTAACTGTTAGAGTAGTACAACAAGGGAACCCATGACTTCAAGAGGTGGCCAGCGCTGCAGCACTGGGGGCCTTGGAGAGAAATCTAGACAACTAAACCCCCTGGCAGATCCTGCCTTGACTTGGATTCCTGCCTTGAGCAGGAGGTTGGACTGGATGGCCTTTAGAGGACCCCTTCCAACTTCATGATTCCATAATTCTTTGACACACACGCCCCACAGGCGTCCGGCACTGTCCCCTAGCTCAGCCAGCAGCTCCTTCCGAGGTGACCCTCTGGACTCCCTGCGTGGGGCAGGGCTGCCCCCCCCCCACAGGCACATTCTGTCCCAAAATCTTACCCAGAGAGAGAAAGCAGTTGCAGGCGGGAGCGGGGCCAAGAGAATTGCCCCAACCCACTATGCCGCTGAGAGCGTGTTCCCCCCCCCCAAAGGCAGTAGAACCCCCAGCAGCAAAGGCCCTCTGCCTGCGTCCCCGTCGATTGGAAGCAGGCCACAAGACCAAGCTGCCCGGCAACGCTTTGATCCGCATTGATGCTCCACAGTTGAATGTGGCGGCGGGGCCAAAGGTCAGGTGTTCAGGTCCCCCAGGGAGCCCCTCCGGCGGGCAGCAGGCAATGTGGCCTTGGGCATAACTCTGAAACAAGCACATGTTGTTTTTTGCTGTTACCTAATGTACTTTGAGAAAATGGGAACAGAAGCATAACCTGAAACAATGGCCTGCAAAGAAGCCGCGGTTCTCACAGTCCCTGGTGAATGGCAGGACCTGCAGGACCAGGCAGGTGGGCCGAAGGGAGCACCTGGGGGCCACTCGCTGAGGGCCCCTGAGCCTCCGACTGGACTCCTCCCTCGGGGCCCTTGGCCGGACTCTTCAGCCGCCCCCTCCAGCCCCGAAGGTCTTTCCACCAGTCCCCTGCCTGTAGAGAGCCGCCTGCCTTGAGAGTCAGCGCGGGAGCCTAAAGTGGGATTTACAGCAGGCTTGGGGCCTCAGCCTTCTCTGGGCGTCCCTGAGTGCTGGGGGAAGGGGAAGCCTGGGGCTCAGCACCCGCACCTGCGCCCACACCGGAAGCTGCAGGCCAGTCACCGGGGAAGAGAGCCACCCGCCTGCCGGGCTCCCGGGCTTTGTTCGGCC